CTCTGGCTGGAGAGGATTTATGCTGGCAATCACATGCATTTTCATCTCAGAAATGGAGTAGACTGTGCTGAGTGTGAGGCATTTAATTAAGAAAAAGCATACACCATGACCTTACAGGGACACCATCATCAATGGGTTTAGCCCTCTTTCATCCTTCCTGTCCCTCCATTATTAAATAAATATATTAATTATATCTTTTTGCCTCAAAAACCAAGAATCCTCCTTCCTCCTGAAGAAATAAAATGCAACAAATACCCTTTTGTGGTCATGGTCAGTGTCTTTGGTGATTGGTACTGAGCTCAGCCTCCTGCTAAGCATCAAACAAACACCACACATAGTGGAATTTCTCACATAAGTAAAACATTCCATATATCCCGGGCATAGAAAGCCAAAATATTTTGCTACTGGCATCACTAACAGAGGGCCCACTTTGGTGATGTACTGACTTCCTCCATTATCATACAGCAGATGAAAGGTCTGAAATAAAAAACCCTGAGGGTGAAGTGAAAATATTTTTTTGCCTTAGGTCTAGTGCATTTTTAATATCAACATAAAGTTCAATGGTAGACACTGCCCTTTTCTAAAAGCAGCATTTTCTGTTATCACCATAAGAAAAGAGAAAAGAAGAAAAGACAGCTCCAAAAGGATGCCCCAGATTTTCACAGCATGTACAACATTTGTGGTCAAATAGCACTCTTGGGACACAGGTGGAAGAAGTGTTGGATAACGTTAAACCTGATAATATTCTCTTGTAGCTTTTTCTAGGAAGGGACATAGATTGACTCATCTCTTCCCTTTTCCCATCTCCTGCAATAACACCAGCTCTGGTTTTCCTTCCTTTCCTACTCCTGGCAATATCTCAGTCACCTGCCCTGGCTCTGGGCAGACATGGGGACTTATCATGTCTCAAAAATGCCTGGCAGCAAATTAATTCTCAAGAAGCATCTATGTCTTCTCATATTTGTTTCAGTCCACTTCAGAATGAAATACACATTTTTCAAATATAATAGCAATATAAATTGTCTTTTCTTCATTTTGAAAAACTGATTTTTCCCCCTCCACAGTTGGTTTAGAATTTTGTATCACTCTGCATCCTGGTTTTATTTCTGATAATAGTTCACAATATTTTGACTAATATTAGCATGTCCAAAAAAAGTAGCTTTTGTCTTTTGTTTTTATTTTGAAAACTAGTCTGACAGTGAGTGGCTGGCACATATAATTTCCTTTACTAGAAAACAGTATCCCTTAGACATGCTGGTAAATTCCACAGCTTAACACAATTGCACTTGTTGTTAATAACAGCAATGCACAGTGATAGGAAGTGATGCAAAAAATCATAAAAATAAATACAGCTCCAAAACGAACTTTGAGAAGTTTTTCAATTCACAGTTATTTCCCTCATGGGAAATTATGTAAAAATAAATGCATTTTTCATACTCAATGTCTATTGTGGTGAGACACTTCCTATTGGATCGGAACAGGAGTCCCAGAAGGCAGCTGAGCTAGATGTGCCAGTCATGGGCTGCCTTCCTCAGGAGCTGCCAAGCTCTGCCCAGAGCCTGCCTGCTCCAAGGCCAGCTGCCTTGGTGAGTGGCAAGAAGGAAAACCCAGGAGAGCTTTCCAAAAGCCCTAGCTCGATTTATAACCTCCTTCCTGCTCTCACAGTGCCCTGAGGCTGGGCTTATGGAGACAAAACTGCAGTAATGACTGCTCTTCCATCTGTGATGACTGCTTTTCCATCTGTGTAGATGAATTCTCCCTGCTCTCTATTCCCATTTTTTTGATGGACAGTACCTGCCTATCCCTGTCCTTGAGGTATGAAGCTCCAATGCTGAACTAAACCACCATGGGAGGAAGCCAGTGAACAGAGATGGTCCACAGTTATCACAGGGCACCAGTTATGGGGATTTTTAAAGGAATTTTGAATGAGTTAGAGATGGGACCTCTGAGTTGTTTTTGATTGCGTGATTTATTTTTTTTATCTTCTACATAGACAGGAAGGGTGAGTTCAGCTCATATCTTTACTACATGGTTCAGAAGGTCACAAAACGCCTAGTTACAAGGCCTTTTAAGGATTTCTTGACCAATAAAGCACTACCAACAAGGATATTTATGTTTTTAAACCAATCCTTATATCTTTCATCTTATAGACTCATGCTACAGTGTAAGGCAATCTTACACTGTAAGATAAGCCAATATTACTACCAATTTCTTAGCCAATCATGTTACGATACACAAACCTACAGTACTACATTCTAAACGTCTTGTTTACATTTGTAAGTACTTTTTTTCCCCTACATTGAAACTTTCTTCTTCTTAACTTAACGTGTCTCTGCTTTAAACTATAAATCCACATTCTTCCTTCTAGTACTCAAGTTCAGAAGCCTCTTCCAAGGTCTCAGATTAACTTCGGTGTTTAATTCGAAGCTTTTACTTACAGGCCCGAAGTTCTAAGAATTCCTTGCATTTCAGATTCCAACAATCAGTCATCTCCAACCCTCCACACATTTGATGAACTAGAAGTGCCCCCCGTCCACCCATGTCCACTGTAGGTTAAACCTCAGTGTAAAAAGATCTCAGGCCCCTTTTCCATAGAAACACCTCTGCTGCTTATCTAAGAGGTGTACTTCCCTGCTTCAGCTGGAACAGCTTCACCACCCAGCAACTGGTCTCCTCCAGGCATCTTTGTGTGTCAACATGAGCTGCGTTTTAGTTACACTCCTGATAAACTTCTATAAAGAACCTGAGACTATAAAAAGCCAACCCTTATCTCCAAGAAACTTAAGACCATGTAACCTGTCCTCTTAAACTAGACCTATCATATTTCACCTGCACCTCAGCTCATGTGGAAACCATGCCTTGCTGGGGAAAAATGCTGGGTCTCATGGGAGCAATCCTTATCCCAGGTCCAGCAGCTGATGCCTGAGGTAAAACATTCCCTCCAATTAAAGTCATATCATGAGCATGGCTCTTCAGCAAGATTAAACGTCATCCAGCTTTGTTTTTGGAACAGAATTTTGGTCTTTCCATAAGCAGTACTGCCACTCCAAGATGAGCACATGGGATGTTCCCTGTGGGAGGGCCTTGCCTGCTCTCAGGCAGCACAGTCCTCTGGACTTCTACAAACACAAAGACTCATAAACTCCTGGATTAAAACAGCACTTCAACACTGACATTCTAGTTAACATTCTAGTTAACACGTCTAGTTAAATGTTTGCAAGGAGAAATCATAGCTTTGGGGATGCAAGGCAAAATAATTAAAAACACAAGAGAAGGAGAAAACAGTCTCAGCTTCCTGTTGTGGAAGCTCCTCATTCCCTGATCACCTCTGCTTCCTTTATCCTCTGAACTTTTTCCAGTTTGCCTTCATTGGTTTTGAACTGATGATTGGATGTGAAAAGAAATTATTCCTCCCAATAAAATACAGGGTTTATATCTAGGAAGATCTGAGTTCCTCAAATATTTGTTTGAGCGTGGAGGGGGCTGAACCCTTCCCTGCTAAAATCCAGGCCCGGGCCCAGGCAAAACACAACACTTTCCTAATATAGCAACAGAATTTCTCTCATATTCTGAACAGCTACTGCATTACAAGTGGGGTGCCCTGAGTGGACAGTGGCTCACAGACAAACCTGTGCTCCCTCATCTGCAAAGCCAAGATGGGGTAAAAAATATCTGGGGCTGGCAGAGATCCTTCCCTGGGAGCAATATCAACCTCCTCTCCTGGGACTGTCAGAGAAGCAAACGGATGCCCCTGTCTTAACACCAGGGCTCACAGTCTGCCCTGGTCCAGGAAGGGGAAATAGCAGCACAATTGCAAAAATAAACCCCTGGGAAAAAGCTGTTCAAGCTTTTAAGCTTGGAGAGGTTGGAAAAGAATTTCTTGTCAAAATACAAGTAGGGCAGTAATTCCACATTCATCAAATACAGAGGGGAACACCCAGAAAGGAGAGGCTAGAGACATTCCCTCTTGACCATGTCTGCAGACCTGGATCCCCAACCAGAGACTGCACACTGGGTCTCTCAGGATGCACACACGGGTGTGCTCTCAGGGTCCATGTCTCTAATTTACTCTTCTTCTTGTTTCTGATTGGAGGGAATATCTGGGCCACTGCCATCATAAAATAGAATCATACAATTGTTTAGATTGTAAAAGACCTCCAAGATCAGCAAACCCAACTGTTTACCCAGCACTGCCAACTCCATCACTAAACCATGTCCTTAAATGCCACATCTACACATCTGTTAAAAGCACCTCCAGAGATGGCGGCTCCACCACTGCCATGGGCAGCCTGTTCCTATACTTGACAACCCTTTCTGTGAAGAAATTTTTCCTAATATCCTAACTTCCCCTGAAGTATTGAGGCCATTTCTTCTTGTCCTGTTGCTTGTTACCTGAGAGAAGAGACTGACCCCCACCTAACTACAGCTTCCTTTCAGGTACTTTTAGAAAACAATAAGGCCTCCTTTGGGCCTCATTTTCTCCAGGTTAAACACCTCCCAGCTCCTTCAGCTGCTCTTTATAAGACTTGTACTTTAGACCCTTCACCAGCTTCTTTTCCCTTCTCTGGACACACTCCAGCACCTCAAAGTCTTTCTTGTGAGGGGCTCAAAATTGAACACAGAATTTGAGATGCACCAGTACATTTCACCATCCAGAGACTGCACTGGACCTTCGCAATGTGCATTGCTCATCCACCCACTCCCGCAAAGGATTCCTGCAAAAAAAACCACCAAAACCCAACTTCCCCAAGGCAGTCATGCGTCACGACAGTGCACAAACTCTGTAGCTGGTCGTGTTGCAGACGTGCCCCCATTCCCTAGCACCCAGTCTGCAGCACTCCTCCAAGGCAGTAGGAAATGCAGGAAAAGGAAAGAAAGCGTATTTTCTCCCACCTGCTCTGGGCCAGACATGCTCTCAAACAGGAGCTCAGGGACTTGCACATGTGCTGTATTTACATTCCTTTGCTCCCATGAAAATGGCATTAACAGACCACACTCACCTTTCAATTTCTTCTTTCCAAATTTTAATCCAAATAGAGACATCCCAAAACTTTATTTTAGTCCAACTCCATGGAACTTCTGCAAGAGAAAAGAGAAGGCAATTCACAACACATAGAGCAGCACAAACATGTCATTCTATGCCAAATAAATGGGGAACAAATTCCTGAGCACTGTGGCTAGCAGACACAGTTTATCATCTAGAATGCATTAAAATACAAAACAATCTTAAGTTTTCATGTTGCATCAGTGGGCTACCTTACCTGGGACATGCTGGTCAATTCATCACCTGACATGGCACAAAGAAGGGGCCAGTGGAGGAGAGAATGAAAGGGACATTCTCACTACATTGGTGCCATATGAAAATGAAAAATACACACCCAGAGCTTGTACTTTAGGTACAGAGGAACTGTGTGTCTACCCAGAGCAAGACCAGCCTCCTTGAAGAGGAGGAAGTAGCGGGAAGCACTGGTTTCCTGTAAATCTGCTGCTGCTCAACACGTGCTGGCTCACACTGTTGTCCATTCCTGGTCATCCTGCATGTTTGGGGCACACCACAATAAAACTTCTCCTCCGCTGGCTGCAAACTGCCTGGCCCAGAAGCTAAGGCCAGGCACCAGAAATGCATTTCAGGCTCTGAATATGTCCTGATAGGAGAGGAATAGAGCATTAAAAAAAAAAAACAACAACACATCAAAACTGGCTGGTAGTGCAATTTTCAGTGTCCCAATCATCAGACAAGTTTATTTAAAGGCTTTGAAGGTGGTATTGGGGCTGACAACCTAGAGAATCTGTGAACATGAGAAAAGCAGGCATTGCTCTGTGACCAGGAGCCTGAATCAACAGGAACACTGTAGCAGTTGCTTAAGTGGTCAGTGAGGCAAGCTGAGGCACTTGAGAGAGTCACAGTCTCTCCAGAACAAGTTTTCTAGGTAACAGAATGTAGTTTTTTAATTTATCCTATGCTATCTGTGCAGAGCAAGGGTGCCTAAGGAGACAGGAACAGCAAATATATAATATTTTGGAAACACTCACATACAAACATAGCCTATGCCACTGCCCAAATGCAAGCCTGATACAACACTTCATGTGTTTGCAGAAAAAAGGATAAACTTATAGGGAAAACTCTACAATCCCCACATATGCCAAACTTGTGCTCCAGATGCTCCAGCAAAGCTATATTTAGCAGCTGCAGTTGCATGAATCTGAATTCAGTGAGGGGTTTGGGAGCCTCTCTGTGCCCACTCTGCTTGGAAGATGTCCTTTCTCTATTCACTCCTCCAATTGCTTCTGCTCATCGTGACAAGTGCTTTGGTACCACCTCTCCCCAGAACTTCTCTGCCCATGAAGATAAACCACTTAAAGTTAAAATATGGAATGTCACAACCTGAAGCTTTCTTGACCCTGCTAACCAAACTTACTTTCCATCCCTGACCTCAGTCTATCACTTTCAACATATTTCTTCCACGCTTTAGGATTACTATTATGTCTTACAAAACCCTACTAACAAGGACAGAGCGGTCCCCATAAGATGGTGGGAAGAGTGAGACACTCCCCACACACATAGAGGTAAAGACCTCAGATTTCCTGAAGCACCAGGAGTCACAGATCTGATAATCCCTGATCTGGTAATCCTGGCTGCACAAGGATGGCTGTAATCAAAATATTGATGATTACATGATCCATATGAACTCTGGATGTTGCTGTATTTGCAGAACCTTTCAGAAAAACAAAAGTCACTCCTCACTGTCAGCACAAATATGCAAAAGGTTAACTGGTTATAATCATCATATTGATGATTACATGTCCCATATGAACCCTGGATCTTCATGTATTTTCCAAACTTTTTAGAAAAACAATCTCCAGCTACCAAACCTCTCCCAGCTGTGCACTCAATTAACAAGGCACATAATTTCAGCAGAGGGTGAAAAAAGGATGTTTATATTTTTGGGGAGCAGAGAAGCGAAGGTGGTTATAAGCTTTCTTTCATCAGTAATAACATGAAACAAACAATAGACTTTCACATCTTCCAAACAAAAAACCTGAAACTTCCTTCAGCTCTGACACATGGCTTTTGTTAATTACTGTGATTCTTTGAACCCTGGTTTCTGGTGGGACTGCAGCATGACAAGAAGACTGAAACAATACAATGTTTTGATATGGAAAGCATGTAGTTTCCACAGCTTCTCAGTGCATTAAATCAGGATTGCATGCATTGAACGTCTTCATTCAGCAGTAAATTTAAATTACCATCATGGCAGCACAAATACCCTTATAGGCTTTCAATTCCCACAAACCTTTGCCTTTTAGGGCAGACGGGAGATAAGTTTGCCACATCCATTTGCACCAATTACCTCTCCAACACATCACTGGCACCACACACTCTTGGCATACCTGCTCACTTAGTTAAATCCCAGGAGTTCTGTATGAATCCTTCCCAAGCTGACCTGATCCTCTAGGCAAAACTCAGTTCCTGACTTGCCCAAACCACAATGTCATTTGAAAATGTGTCAGTATTCAATGGGCACACAGATGATGGCATTAAGGGCTGGACACACCCCTATTGCATTGAGGTGTACCCTTTATTTTCATAATACTGCAAATATCTTCCTTTACTGCTTTGTTATTGACTCACACATCTAATCCCCATAGTTCTTTACAGAGGAAAGCCACTCTCAGGAGGGCTGTGGCTTCTGTGCAAGGCTGCCTGCTCACACCCCCTCTGTGACTGTGCACTGTCACACACAGGTGTCTGTTTTCAGTTTGAGAGCTCGTTGACCACCAGCTGTCAGTGTGAAAAGAAACACAAGCAAGTAATGGTGAAATCGTCCCCTTTGGTGGAGCCACAGGTACTGCTCCCGTTTGTCTCACTTATCACAGCTTGTGCAGACAGATGTGCTCTCTTGGCTGACCTTGGCTCTTCCTGCCTTTTAGCCCCAGTTTTTTTTTTTCTTAGGTTATTTTCTACCTGCATGGCCCAACATCTTTGCACTTGAATTTATCAACAACGTCCCTCTGGGTATTTTTTCCCCCACAGATTTCACATATAATCAAAATTCATGCCCCTGTTCAGTTTTCTTTATTTTCCTATTTTTTAAATCTGAGATTCAGTTTCCACTCCAAACTTGCAATGGAATGGGTCATCAGCCCCCTATCACTCACATCTATTTTTAATTACAGTTTTAATTTCTCTTTATGCTTTCCAGGGGAAAAAAAAGTAAAATTATCAGGGAAAAAAGGTTATCTCATATTTCTTTTGTTGTGTGGCATTAACTACTTCTCAAATTTTGGTAGGACAATTTCATGGTCTCCTTTTCCTGAATTAATTAAAAGCCCATAAACACACAAAAAAACATTCTACAGTCAGAAAAAAAGGCAATTTCCTGTTTGTGTTAATTTTCCCTGGCACCAGCTATGGTCAGGCAAAGTGAAGCACTGCTTCAGTCTCCTCTAGTTGCTTTCCACAGTCTGTGTCAGCCCTTCTGGACTCTTTGTTGTTCCACTTTTCACTTGATTATTTTTGGATTTGCTTCATTTATTTTTACCCCAGGTACACAGCATTGTCAGTAATCAACTGGGGCTCAGAGTATTTGAGCACTCATGTAGGCCCCCTCAGCTTAACAGGACAACGTGTTGCTTCCCCATGTTTTCAGGCCCTATAGCAGAAATTATTTAAAGTTCAAATTCCCAATTCTCACAGGGAATTGGGGGTACAAGCTACAAATAAATTATCCCTTCTCACCACAGAAAACTGTTGTACCCACGGGGCTCTATGAACTTTCTGCTGCTCACACATCTGCAATGTGTGATAATCCACCATTGACAGTCCACCTGCTTTATGGCTGCTGACAGTCTGGTCAAGAGCTCTGGGTGTTTCAATAGCCACAATGAGAAGCTTCTTTGACAGATCTTGAATAGGGAAGTGATGTTTTCTCACAACCCAAATTCTGCCTCATTTAAGACAGGTAGAAGTGAGGTGGGTCAAGGTAATCCCAAGTACGGGTTGGGCAGGGAATGGATTGAAAGCAGACCAGAGGAGAAAGGCTTGAGGGAGCTGCTGGATGAGAAGCTCAACATGAGCTGGCTGTGTGCACTCAGCCCAGAGAGCCAAACGTGTCCTGGGCTGCATCCAGAGCCCCGTGGGCAGCAGGGCAGGGAGGGGATTCTGCCCCTCTGCTCTGCTCTGCTGAGACCCACCTGGAGCACTGCATCCAGCCCTGGGCTCCCAGCACAGGAACCACAGGGACCTGCTGGAGCCAGCACAGAGGAGCCACCAAGGGGATCAGAGGGCTGGAGCAGCTCTGCTGTGAGGAAAGGCTGACAGAATGGGGGTTGTTCAGCCTGAAGAAGGGAAGACTTTGGTGGGATCTTAGAGCAAATTTCAGTACTTAGGCTACAAGAGAACTTGAGAGGAACTTTCAGCAAGGCACTTAATGCCAGGACAAGGGTGAATGGCTTCAAACTGAAAAAGGGAGTAGGGTTATATTAGATATTAAGCAGAAATTCTTTACTGGGAGGATGATGAGACACTGGCACAGCCACCCAGAGAAGCTGTGGGTGCCTCATGCCTGGAGATTCTCAAGGCCAGGCTCTGAGCAACCTGGACTAGTGAAAGGTGTTCCTGCCTATGCCAGAGGAGTTGGAACAGGACGATATTTAAGGTTCCTTCCAACCTAAACCGTTCCACAATTCAATGATTCGGCTTGAGAACACAACTGCAAAGCTCCTCCTGCATGAGGGGTAAGTTGCAATGAGCTACAACATGTGGGCTTTGCAAAGGTTCACTGAGGGCTGTACTGCAAACTGGAGGAGGAGGGAGGCATTTCCCACCACCACAGCCTTGAGTGCTTGAGAGGCAAAATGACAAAAGACATGGCACAAGTTGGATGAATGCAGAGCAGATGTTGTGGGTGGAAAATATATCTCTTTTCTTGGCCTGGTTTCTCTGGACAAAGCTATAGGATACATCAGATTCAATGATAAATATGAATTAGAAAATACTTAGTGCCTCTGTTCCTATCACTTCATTCCCAGACTCTGTGAAATGATCCATGTTAAATACAATCATTTTTGGAAGGG